ACTAGTGCAGTTTTATTAAACCAAATAAAGGAAAGTTTAATTATGTGAACACTATTTTTTTCTAAAAGGACAAAGAAAAAATTTGACCTGCTGCTAAAGAAATTTACAGTTGACTAAAAAAAAAAAAAAAAGTTGAAGGACTTTCACTTTTGGGAAGACGATAAATACTGGTTTCCAGCCCTTCAATTTTGAATAATCCATCACTCCTTTGTTTCCTGACTTGTGTTCATCTTTAAGAAAATGGTAAGTTTAATAAGGTTTCCCCAAATCCTCTGCCTTTCCTTCATGTTGTTACAGTTTCGAGTCCAAAGCTCCTCACCTTCTCAATCTTCTCCCGATTCATCCCCACATTTGTGCCGTTCTGAAGAGCGTTCTGCATTGCTTGATTTCAAAAGCACTACTACTAATTTGGCGGAATCCTATTTTCGTAGTAGGGATATAATACAAACTAGGAACGAGAGTAAAGACTGCTGCTTGTGGGAGGGCATCACATGCGACAAGGTGAAAGGTCACGTGATTGGCCTTGATCTTAGCATTAATCATCTTGAAGCCAATCCAAATACAAATAGTAGTCTCTTCCGCCTTGAGAAATTGCAGAGCCTCAACCTTGCTTACAACGATTTTAGCTACCCCAATCTCTCCTTTGGTTTAACCGTTGGAAGAGTTTGACATATCTTAATCTTTCACTTTCACGTATGAGGTTTCATTTCTTTTTCTTTTGTTTTAAATCGCCATGCTTCCAAAACTGGTTTCACTTCTTCTAATGTGACAAATCTTTAACCTTGTAGATTCAATATTCCTGGATGGCTTTGACCCATTTGATGAGATCCTCTTGCTACCGAAATTGGTTTCACTCGATCTCTCCTGGAATTATGGTTTGGTTCTTGACAACATAAAGTTTCAAATGCTTGTGCATAACTTAACAGAATTAAGGCTTCTTAAAAAGAGCAGAAACCTGACACGGGTGTGGTGTCGACACGCAACTGGAGATATCAGCACCATGCGTTAAGCATCCATAGTTGAAGTTTCCTATTCTGTCCTAAGTCCTACTTCTTTTTCTGCTTCTAATGACGAAGAAGCTCTCGAGATAATGTCCCGGTGATTAGTTATTTCACTCTTGACAAACCTAGTCTCTTCATGATTTTGTTGACCATTTGAATTGTTTTGCAAAAAACGAATCTGCTCCAACTCCATAGCAATTTCTATCATCCTTGGCCGCCTACTACCACTCAAGCTTAAGCATCTATATGCAAGTTTAGCAACCTTTATAATTTCTTCATGTGCAGAACTATCCTTAACTTGAGCATCAAGAATATTGAAGAGGTTATTCTCTTCCATGGAAAAAATGAAATGAGAAGCCAAATTTAATTTTCTACCTAAACTAGGAAATTTCGTAGAACATAATGCATTTTTATCTATTTAAACTCACATAAAGATATAGTGAATTAATAGGTAGAGATAAGTTTGGCAAACTTGAGAAAGTATATCGAATAGAATTGAAAGTCCTATTGTCACATGAATAATAAATACCTTGGAAGTATATTAATCTAAATTTTGTATTCATATCAAAAAAATTAATCTAAATTCTATATTAATTGATTGTGATGAAATCAAATACCTTAGAATTTTAATTCTTAGTGTTACGTAAAATCAATTTAATTTTTCTTTAATTGTTTACTTTAATTGTTTTAGTTAATTACCTTATTTAAATCATTTAATTTCAATTGTTCAAATAAAATTACAATTAGTTAATTTTGGTATTTAATTAGTCTGCAATCTCTATACGTAGGATGATACTTTATTCTCATCATTATATTATTTGAATTAATTAATACTCTTACTAAAGTGAATATAACTCATCAGCTTCGACACTATATATAAATGGCTAGGTCTCATATTCATGTATCTACTCGTTGAGAGTCGAATTTGAAAGTAGTCAGTAGACAGGAAGTACCAGGAAATTCTTAACATTGTGATCTTACAAACTCTATTGCTTCTTCAATTGCATTATCAGACACTCTCTCTATTTAATTATATTATTTTTAGTGTCTTGAATTTATACACGTCAATCCTATTGTTTCTACACATGCTATCAGAGCAATTGCATGTGAATTTGGGATCCAAGGTCGATTTTCAATCTGTTGACTATTTGTTAATTATCAAATGTAAGATATAGTTGTCCTTGACTCCTAACAACTAATTAAAGTAGAGTGGCTATTAAGTCACTTAGTGTCAAACTTTTGATCCTATATTTTATAATCCTATTATTCAATAAATTTGATTTCAAAAATCATGTCTTTATTTATTAAATTATAATTTAATATAGTTTATTTGGGATTCATTACATTCTAACCAAGAGTTGTGCCTAATAAATATTACAAGGGTAATAAATTAATTAAACATTTGTGGTGGATCAAGAGTATTATTATGTTGCAACAATTGAAGGTACATCGTATTTCAGTACCTTGCGTGCGAGAGCTATTGGCATACATCAAGTGCAGCATGCAGAATGTTTGTAGGCAACAAGTGTGTATCTCAGCTTGAGGGGTTTCATTGATTATTTTGGATGTTTGGCTGTTCTTGTAATTATAATTTTGATGATTACAAAACACTCAAGTTCTTAATTGGTTTATTTAAGAGTGTCATTTATGAATGAAAGGTTGTTAAAATTGTATCTCTATTTATTATTATATCTTTGTTTTATCTTAATTTTTTTGTTTCTTCCATTATTTATATTAAAAATATTTTTACTCAAAATACAAGTGGTACAACTTGTATTACTTCGTAGACCTTTAAATTTATATTAAAATATTTTCAATTTATATTAAAAATTGAAAGCAAATTTAACCAATGTTCTATAAACTTTTAAATTGCAGTCATTAAAGAAGTTTTCCCTGCCAAATTTAACTAAAGGAACTAGTGTCTTACTGGTTGAGATATGCTTGTTTATCATAAAAATGGTAATAATATTGCTACCATTATTACAATTGTAGTTAAGCTAAAATTAATTACTCAAAATGGTAATAATATGAATTTATACGTTTTTATAAAAAATCCATTACTCAAAATGATATATTTAATTAACTAATTAATTAAGCTAAAATTAACATTTGTGTATTTTATACATAAAAAATATATTTACTACAAGTACTTAATACGTGCTTTTATAAAAACCGTTAAGAAATATGGATTAGGTTTAAATCTGAAAACGAAAAGTAGAAAGTTGAAACGTTCCCGAGTTTCCCATATTTGAACATTGACTTTATTATATTAATAGATAAACAAATAAATAAATGTAATAAGAGTAAAAGATTGGGATAGTTAAGTGTAAAACATTGACCGGCGACGGCGGTCGAGTCCACTTAGTCCACTTATATCGGACAGCTAATGCACGGCGTGAATCGGGCCCGATGAATGCGGACTACCACTTAGTCTTAGGTCCCACCTCTCCATATTCTTCGCTTCGGTCTCTGCCTTTATTTTGTCATTTTCTGCACTTCTTAGTTTTTTTACTCTGTAGAAAAAATTCAACTTTTAAATTTCGCCGATATTTGTAAATGAATTTTTTATCTTATATAACGAGTAAATGTTAATAATATGAAAAAAAAAAGTGTATATAAGTTCATCTGGAAACTGAAACTAATTATAAAATGGTAATAATATGAATTTTTAACTACAATGGTAATAATGATAATTTATAACTATTTAAAATGGTAATAATGGTTTTATAAGGAGTAAATGTTCCACTGTTTTTCAATTTCCTTTTCAAATCTCCGCTTGGAATCACAGAGGAAGAATGACCAAAAAACAAATGTTGTGGAACCGTTAAAAGTAAGTTTTCTTGGTTGGCAGTTTGTTGGATCGTTTGCCGATAAAAGATAATCTTATGAGCAGAGGTATTCTTTGTGCTTTTCCTTTTTTGCTTTTTCTCACCCGTGTATTTGAATTTATTTAAATTTTGAATTGGGTATTCAAAATGATTGGTATTTGTTACTGGGTTTTTAATAAGAGAAAGAAAGAAAGAAAGAAATGAAACCTGTTTTAGGGATTTTTGTTGGTTATATCCCCGATTCAGTCCCTCAACTTTCATTTTTGAACTAAAACTACCCTCGAACTTCAAAAAGTACTAAAAAAATCCTTAAACTTCAATTTTTAGGACCAATTTCGTCCTTCCGTCAGTTAAGTGCTGACATGGCAACATTTCCCGTTAACAAATTCAATTTTTATTAATATTAAATATTACCTGAAAATAAAATGAGTGATATGGCATTTTTAATTATAAAAATATTGTGATTTGGCATCAAAAATATAATTTAATAAATTTTTTTTTTTTTCTTTCCTTTCCTTTCTTTTT